GCCTGTGCCCCCTTTGCAAAAAAGTTTAGCTCTGCCTTTGCTGGAATACAAAGCTAATTCGTGGCTCATTCCAACAACAATCAAGTTAAATTTCCTTTTTGCCTGATAAATGATATTTTTATCATCACCTGTCAAGAGAGCTGAATTTCTTGTGTTTTCTGCACATTTCCCTGTCAGAACGCAGGGCTTGTGACCGTCACAACGACACCCCTCAACTGCGGCCCCCAGCTCAGGCTCCTCCTGAAACGGCCGGTGAACGAGAAGCTGCTGATGCTGCTTCCTGTGGGTTATCCTGCTGCCGACGCCACCGTGCCCGACTTGAAACGCAAGCATCTGGATGATATTATGGTGCACATCTGAACAAATTAGTTTTGGGGTAACATGGCTCCTCTCATCTGCCAAGACTGAAATGCTATTGCCTATTTTTGGTTGGTGACTGTAGGAAATGATTTATTTCTTCAAATGTATTAAAAGGGTGAATTTATATTTTTAGGACACCAACCCTTTGTGTTAAATATGTTGTAGAGCTGCACAAATATACTGTATGTGTTGTTTGCCATTGCTCAGTGAGTTCATGGTCTGAAAACATTTTGTTAATTATTACCTGTGTGTTAGCATAATGTGAACTGCTGCCTTTTTGATGTATTTTATACAAAAATACAACAGGTATCTTGTGATCTAAACCCAAAGCACACCATATAGGTATTTCCCTTTTAATAACAAAACTTGACATTTCCTAATGTCTCCAAATGAGTTTCAGTGGTTCAGAACTTGTCTCTATTTTTTGAGCTGAAAGTCATACATTGAGGCCTAACATTTATTCTATCTGAGAGTACAAGTAAATAGAACATATATTAAGTTGAAGGAACTTATATAAATGTAAGCATGGTATCACAATGGTCCCTGTCATGGTCATACCGAGGTCGAGGTTGTGTCAGGAAGGGCATCCAGTGTTAAGCAATTCCCAAATTTTCCACACAACTTTATTCACTGTGGTGAACCCTGCAGAAAAGAGCAGTCAAAAGAAAAATAACAACTTAAGTCAGCACAATTGATTTAGTTTTGTGAGAACTTTAGAATTGTATGTTCAAATAGCAAAAATAATAGTTTGCATACAACAGCAGACATATTAACTTGACTTTTTCATAAAATCCAGGTTTAAATGGGTTAGTTTAGAAATATTTTAACATTTTGTTAAAATCTTTAAGTTGAAAAATTAAACTTTTAATACCCTTTGTTTTGTACCTGTAGAATGTTTTTAGTTTTATGTGTGAAAAGCTAAAAAATAAATAAATAAAAACACTTGGAGGTACTAACTGTAAAAATATCCTGCATTTTTTCTTTCTGTATTTTTGTACATCTATTACAATTGCAATTACTTAATAGCAATTACAACTTTTTGGTTGATTACTAAAAAATTGCTTATTAAATATATTATTAGGTTTCCAGCAAAATTTGTTTGAAAATCTGTATTAAACAAACATTTTTACTATTCAGGTTATGTGTCCAATGTTTACTACTACCTGCAGGGGTCAGTATCACGCAGGAACGCGCCGCCGAAGAAGAGGAACAACATTGCGCATGCGTACACCACGTACACCGATGCATCGAGCTCTAGGCTGGATGCTAGCTAGCTAGCAGTCTGTTAGGTCTTTCACATTACTGGGTCTGAAGGGGGACACGCAGCGGTGGAGAAGAAGGGCGACTTTTGCGCCGCTACGAAATGGCCGGACAGCAGTTCCAGTACGATGACAGCGGCAACACTTTTTTCTATTTTCTTACGTCCTTCGTCGGACTTATTGTGATCCCGGCTACATATTACCTCTGGCCGCGGGATCAGAATGCTGGTAAGGCCTGATGTCTGGCTCGTTGCTAACTAACTTAGCTCACTAACAAACCTCAGATGTTTAGTTGTTTTAACATTTTGGTTTGTAAAATGATCTGCAGCTAGAGTTCTGTCAATATATATATATTTGGTTCTAGGTGCACACACAGTCCAGCCCAGCAATAAAATTGTGCAAATGGATGCTACTAATGTTGTCAGCAAGTTGATGTCCACGTCTTTCCACTGGTGCTGAAACGTATTAAGTTGATTCACTGTACTTTATAAAAGTCTTAAATCATCCCACGTTAATTTTTTATATATATGTTTTGTTCCCAAGAGAACCAGACTTTGATGAATCTTTTAAATCTCTTAAACTCTTGAGTTGAATCAAGGCTGACTTAACTTAGCAAGTCATCTAAGTTAAATGCAGGATTCTTTAGGCACTAGAAACCTGTCACAAAAACAACTTTTCCCATTTGTTCTTATGATAACACAATTTATCAGAAATTAATGGGGAATTTAGTGTCAGAAATGCAATTCCTGAAAAGCTAGAAGTTTAAAACTTGTATAGTTGATGATTGAGTAATAATGCATCAGTAGTCCTGAGTCATGATTCTTACCTTTGCTTGGCTTTTTACAAAAACATGATTCAGACACAGTTCATCTGTTGTAGATAGTTTGTTCCTATAAAGTTGCATAATAATAATAATAATAATAATAATAATAATAATAATAAAAACATTGGCAGGGTTTTAAGTTTACACTGACTGACCGCATTCAGAAATGTCTTTATCTGCTGCTGTCATTTTGTCATGGCACAGCATAGAAAGCATATGCTCTAAATCAGTGGTTCCCAAAGTTGGGGTCGGGACCCATAGTGGGGTCCCGAAACATTAAGATGGGGTCCTGAAAAGATTTTCTGAATTAATTATATTTTTTGCCTTAGTTGTTACAAAGGAGTGAGGTTAGTGTATTTAAAATGGATAAATGTAGTATAAAAAATATTGTTATAGTATAAAA